GGAGAGTAATTGTTTCTTGTTTGTGTGTGCCGCAGCCGCAGCCACGTAAATGAAAGTCACTTTTGATTTGGTTTTCTGCTTCTGTTCAGCGTGTCAGTGGTAAGAGTTCAAGCGGAAATGGCCGGGAAAATTACATTTCGTTTGTTTGCTTTATTCGACGATAAAACTAAGACTGAGAGACATTAAACCAATCATAACTCCATTATACCATTCTAGAGCCTTTAAACAAAAGACTCAGCTTACGAACTTGACTTTGACATCCACAAAAAAAGTCTTTGTGCTGTTGCTGTTGCTGCTGTAAGCGACAACAAGTTTTCAAAATATCATAGATTTTTTGTTCTGTCTTTTTTTTGTGCGAGTATCATTGACTATTATGACTGCTGAAAGCTCTTGTCATTTTTGGCTGCCTTCGCAGCATTTTGATTGTGCTTGAAAATATCAAACAGTATCAAGGAATTAAATGCGGAATTTGTTTCGTTGAATTCAATGATTTATGTTTTGATTTCTAAGAGTAAGCGTGTGTGTTTTGAGGCGTCTCTAATTGCTTGTCAGCTGCCTGAAATTGATATCGATTTGTAGTGCCCCAATAGACAGACAGACAGACAGACGCTTATTGACAGTTTCTTCTTATTTGTTTCCATTGGGTAATAATCGTTTAGCAGACATTGAATGATGCCAGCTTTTAATGGGCAAATCTCAGTGGGAAATACTATATTTTTTCGATCATAATTTTATGGCCCAGCCGACCCGCTGTGAGAACGGCAGCTTAAGAATTCTAGCCTTGGCTGACACCTATTTATAAAGCACATTAGTGTCTTCATATTTTGTGTACATAAGCTTTATGAATCATACAGAGAACAACTTGTTTATTGATCGTATTCGATGAGCATCCTTTACCCGAAACCAAACCCCCCCGTATGATATCATTCGACCGATTTAGATCCTGCCTAAGCCCCAAGCAAAACAAAAACAAATATAAATCGGAATATGCTGGAAACAAGTTCTCAAACAGCTGTAAAATAACCATATAAAATATCTATTATAATAAACTAAGACAAACCCTCAAAGAAAGCGCAATACGAAACTCGTTTTGGCGGGCGCTAAATGCGTGCTGAAGTTTTGTTTTGCCAACTGAATATGGGAACATCGATAATGCAGCTTAATTGCCATTAAACTCGTATTTTATTTGTTGCAAACTGTATTTGTTTCCCTCCAGAACTGATACCCAAAACAAATCATTGGCCTAAATTCACAACCGAAACAAAATTGAAACACTAAAAAGAGTTCCAAGCCAAAAAATTGATATATATGCCAATGAATGGCTTTCGATTGCCTATTTTGGCAGCTGTTTGCAATGAAGTTCATGTGGGGACCATGCAGGCCGTGGATGCAGATCAAAATGCCATTCAACAGGCAGCCCTAAAATGGCCTAAACGCAGCCTGTCAGGCCATGGAGGTCAGCATTTCAGTCTGACATTTAGCCTGCTGCTGGCAACTGGCTCTGGGGCCATATATCAAAGTTGGCTATGGCTATGACTATGGCTATATACTGGATGCAGCTCGAAGCTGGAGTCCATCCATTAAAGGCTGACAAACGGCTACGCGCAATTCGCGACGCACGTGTGTCGTTTGTGGCAGCGATTTCAGAATCTCCAGCGCTAGCATAGCTGGCATTTAGCTGGTAAATGCTGCTTTGATGATCATATTTAAAATCATGATGTAATTGAACAGTTTACGCATTCGAGTGGATAACTATGATTAAGCTTAAAGGCATTTCAAATTACCATTGCAGCGAGGAAAAGCCTCAGGCATTCACCATTTTCCACAGCTTAAGTTATTGTTTCAACACTTCAGCACTTCACTCTTCGTCAAGTCCCATTGCTCCAGCAACACAATTCCTTTTGGAAAAGTTCAAGTTCGTTGTCTTAAACGTCTTTTTGTTTGACCACCAAAACCAAAAAAACAACCCGAAAAACTACAAGAAAAAAAATTGAAAAAATTGACAAATGGTTTATTTATGACTGCAGTGCACTTTGCTGACATTTGGCCAAATGACAATACGGCACACAAGAAAAAAACTAAGGTTTAGCTGAGGTTTTTATCTGCAGTTTTACGGTTTTGCGGCCAGCAGCAAGTTCGTTGTCAAAGTCTTTTGTTTTTACAGCAGCTGCTGGCGTTGTTGTTGCCATAATAAGCTCCCTCGATGAACACCTTAAGAACAGCCACTGAAGTGATGATAGATCGAAGCATTAAGCCGGAGGAAAAACCCCAACTAAGTCCGCCTAGAATATGTATGTTGAAATCATGAAAAAAAAAAAACAATACAAAACATCAACATTATTTACACTTCATTAATCACTAAAAGATGGTCTAACAAAAACAACAGCAGCAACAACAACAACAACAACTACAGCAACAACAGCTATTGTAAGGTTGTTTTGTATGGTGTTGTCTATAAGGAATCGTTGTGGGATACTTTTACTTGGGGGGGGGGCACCATGGCGTCTCGTCTCATCTCGTTTCGTTTCGTCTTTCAGTTGCGGCTCATTGAGTTTTCAGCGATGCGCACGCAGCGCCAGTTAACGCATCAACACTTGGAATGGAGTACAAGATATATCACTAGCAACAACAACAACAACAATTTCAACAGCAACACCAATAGCAATAACATCGATATTAATGCCAGCAGAAATAAAATCCACTTCAAGAAATACAAAAATTTAATAACAACAATTAGAATGCCTAAAATTATAGCAGAAATATAAACAACAGCACAGCCAATGGGAGTTACACCAACAAAGACTACACCAACAAGTTTCCCTGTTCAACGACAACAGAGAGCGAGAGAGAGAGAGATGGATTGATCCTCCTTTTGAGGGTATTGTTGCTTGAATGACTTTTTAATTTATTTGCCATTTCTTTCGCTGGCAAAACGTTAATGAGCAGACCAGACCAGGCCAAGATCCGAACAAGACCAGGGCCCGGTACTCAGACGCAGACTTAGACCCGGTTAAGACTACAACAACAAACGACAACAACAACCATTCGCATTTTGAACTTTTATCTGGCCATCTGCAGACTGGAAAAGACGAAAACAACAGGCAACAGAAATAAAAAAATTATATTGTAGCATTCATTTTGTTACATTTTGGTTTATTTTCCAGCTGCCTTTCGGCCCGAAGACTCGTCTCTCGGTCTCTCCCCAGTCAACTTTAACCCCCTGCCACATAAAACACAAAGTACGAGTGAACGAGTGTACACGAGTGTACATCCCTATCCCTGGCCCTTGCTTTTTTTCTTCCGACCCGACCCTGTTTTAGGTGTAGGTGTATGTGATGTGAAAGACGGTTAAGTCACACATTTGGCCTAAATTTGTCTTTTCTTTTGGGCCCGGCTCGCTTTTCTTTTGTTCATTTGCGCCACGAGACAAGAAGAAAACAAAACTGTGGCACCTCTTGACATTTAAGGCGCGCGCATTTCCCAATTCCCTGCACTACTTTCTGTGAGGCTCTCTGCCTGTAATCACAGAGTGCACACCAATTGGAATTATCTAACAAAAAACAAAACAAAAAAAACCAGAAAAACTCTTTGCAGCTGCAATACAGCACTGCATTCCCCCCATTCCAAGGGTCTATATTCTGAGTGCTACTGGGGGCCGCAATCATCCTTGAACTGTGTGCTCAGCCCAGCCACTGAGCCACCCAGCATTATCTTAGATTCGTTAATAACAATGCCAAGACGCGGCAACAATTGTGGTTTGCAAATTTTGCAACACAAAATTTATGCAGTAAAAAAAAAATTAGAAAAACACAAAAAAAAAAAGGAAAAGACCGAAATGCATGCCGGCAATTTTGAGGCTTTTGCATGGCTTTTAATTGTTGTATCCATTCATCTATGGTAACCAACAATTTTGCAAATTAATCATCGAGCCAAAAGTCGCCTCTGGCTAATGCTAGATTTATGGAAATTGTCCATCATTTCATTCGCCCAGAACCGATTAATATTTACGTTGATTAAGAAGAAGACAAGAAGCTAAACCAAAGCTAATGCTAATTGTTTTTAATAGTAATGACTTTGAGGGGGTTTGTGTGCCAACTTAATTAAGTTCTTCATCGGTTAATTAAAAATGTTTCACAGCAAAATGTTTCTTGGACAATTTTAACTAAGGTTGTGTTATGTGGAAGTCTTCCTGGTTTTTTTTTTGCATTGCCAGCAGAAGGTATATTAGATAATTTACAGGAGAGTTGTTATTAAGATCCTTTGGATATGTTGTGTGAATTTCTCGCAGGAAGGAAGGCCCACAAAACATGCTTGAAATTTTCTACAGATATCTATCTACTGCTTTCGATTGCTCTACCATCTACTGTTTTCCTTCATAAAATCAAAATATTTATCTCAGCTAATAGTTCTTGAGCTCATATCTCAATTGCCATCTAATATACATTTCAACAAAAATCCGCTTTTAATAACTTAAGGAAAAAAACCAAGTTATTCACTTCTGTACTTCTGTTGAACCTGACACTCATCTTTTTTTAGAATTTTTTAAGTGGTATATTCCCAAGAATTTGCCTTCACTTCCTTTTACTTTTGAAAATCTTGGTCAAGTATCATAATTTATTTGAAATTTTTGTATCTTGGCTTATGGTGCATCATAGACAAGTGGCAAGTGGACTTGCATAACTTATAGCCGTACAAGAGCCACCATAAAAAACTGTCTGTCCAATATTTAACCAACACATTGACATTTCAGCAGGCATTATTGTTGCTTTGCCTGTGGCGAGTTGGCCAAAAACAAGTAATAAAATTAAGTAGAAAATGTATACAATAAATCTAAGTAAGATGAGGCTTTTGTGAAAGGAGATGTACATAATTTTTGTCCATTCATGCGTACGAAATGCGTTTGGCATTTTATTAGAAGTCTATTCAGCTGTCGATCTGTGGAGCTGTGCTGTCGAAATTCCTGGGCCCAAACGCATTTGGGGTTCAGGCTGCTCACTCACCTTTAAGCGGCATCAGCGGCATCAATGGCAGCGGTGCTCTGAATGTCAGTTTGTGTGGCAGCAGCAACACTCGCCAGTAACTGTGGCAGCAACTCAATCTTCCACAGCTTCCTTTTTGCTGCTTTCGGTTTCGTGATGGAAGCAATATGTAGGTTTTGCTATAAACTTATTTATGACAAAGTTTTCCGCTCTCCAAGTTGATGTGTTTCTCTTTTTTTTATTCGCTTGTGAATATTAGTTATAATGTTGCACTTTTTCGTGTAACTGTTGTGGCAATGTTGTCTCACTATTGTCGATTATTTGGTGTATTATTTGTTTGGGGCTAGAGTGGAATTATGTTATAATGCACAGATATCACGATTTAGTTGATGGTTTTTTTTTTTTTCGGTGGCAACACAAAATCACTTCAAGTTTTTCATGTCAGCGGGATGAAGATATCATTAGCTGGGTAAATCAACAGTTGGATAAAAGTGAATTGATTTAATTTAATATGTAATCTGAGGGATTTGGGCCAAGTTCATTAGCAGCTGATGGCAAAAACTATGAAAGACTTGAAGTGATTTGTTATATGTATTTTTGGTTCGTTATATAATCCTTTTCTTTATCATAAGTTCCTTAATATTTCATAATTTTTATCCTTAAAAACTTTGACAAAAAATTATCAGTTATGATCACAAAATGTTTAAAAATTCAGGCACTTGAATCACTTTTAAGATTATTATCCACATAAAATTAGCTTTGGAAAATACAGTACGAGGAATCTCAGATGAGAGCCAGAGTCGGAGCCAGACGAACAGAAGACGTCTTCACCCGTACGATATTCACATTTGAATGTTTCAATTGGCAAATGCGGCGTCCAACTTTAGTAGTAGTTGAGCGGTTCGCGGGCCCCGGACTCGAAACTTTGTTTAGCGAAAAACGCTCTCAAAGCCACGGCGCAAAGACAGAGATCAGAGTCATCGTCGGCACCCCGTCGTCGTACCGCAAAACGAAGATCTTTGCCACATCTTCCTCAAAGCCCAAAAGCAGCAGCAGCCGCAAACACAAAAAACCAAACACAAATTGTCTTTGCAACCGGTCGCTGCTGCAGAGAGAGAAGAGAGTTGGTGTTCGGCAGGCAGCCGAAGCATAACAGTGCCATGGGCTTTACGACTGATAAAGCTTAACAACGCTGTTAGGGCTGTTACTGCTGTCAAGGTGGCTGTTAAGATTTGAAATATTTTATTTAATTGTTGTTTTCAAACGTGTAACACATGTAGTCTGGTCTGTACTTCGTAAAGCTTTGGAATTCGTCTTCAGGAAAAGAACAGCGTGCGTATTTTCAGCTGTGGAGTTACTCACTTTTTGGCATGGTTCATACGAATTAAACTATAAATAGATTTAATAATGATTTATTTCAGTATAATTAATTACAAAAGAATGATGTATGGGTTACTTTTAATGTATAAATATTTGTTTTTTTAATTATTTATAAATGTTCTACTAGGTGTGACCTGTCTCAAGGCAATCTAATGTATTTTATAAAGTTTAAAAGATATTTAAAGTAAACAAAATAGGTAGAAATAAAAGTTAAGGACCCATCTAATTGCTCAAAACAATATTTGTGTAATTAGGACTGTTGCACTTATCATACTTTATGTTGTGTATTTGTCAATATCGTAAGGGATTAGCCTCCTTTCACATAATTTTCCATAAAATTGCATAAATATTAAAATTGCATTAAATGCTGCTCACATTCAATTGAAATAGATTTCAATCAATCAGCGGGATGACAGTTTGAAAATCCATCAACGCTTAATGAGGAAGGGGAAGCACTTGTAGGGTTTGCAACGAAGAGTTACGCTCCCCTCCCCACCCTGGAGTGGTGGTCGGTCTGTGGGTCGACTGCTCGATTGCCCGTGGAAGGCAGAGCAAACAAAAACATCGCAAATTAAAGATTCGAAATGCTTGCAGTGACGACTTTTTGACTTGAGGCGTTTCTTGTTTCTTGGTTGAGTTTGATTTTTTTGAACCACAAAACAATGGGGCAAAAGGGAAGACAGCTGAGGAGTTGACAGTGGACAGTTTTTATGATGATTTTTGGCCAGCTTCTTTTGCGGGGCCCACAACCAGGAGGGAACCTGGCAAGCGATCGCCTCGATTGCATAATAATTTTGTTTGATTTTCGTTTGGTTTTTGGATGATGCTTCCTCCCTCTTCTTGGACTCATCTTGGAAGCAACTTCTGCTTCCTTCTCCACACGAAGGCAACAGCAGCAAATGCTGCTGCAGATGCCGATTCATTGGGGCCTGCGATTATGGATTTGGTGTAGCAAAAATGCTTAAATAATCGCAGTCACAAATATTCCCACGAAATTTTCCACTAAGGCCTGCCCATAGAGTGGTATCTCCAGCCAGTGATCCAGCGTTGGTATGAGTAGTTCATGTAAAATTAACATTGGATTCTATTCAAAATCAGAAGTGATGGTCGTAATGGCCCGCCTGCCTTCTGCCTTCTGCCAGTTGCCTGCTTAACGTGATTTTAATGGCGATTCGGTTCTCGACTTTGGCTGTTTGACTCCTTTCCATTATTAACTATTGACAATGTTTCTGTTTTTTTGCCAGTTGTTTGCTGTTCGGGGTGATGCAAATGACATTGAGTTAGCGGCTTTTGCTCATTAAGAATGGCAGGCTGGCTGCATGCGATCATAATGAATTGCTCAATTGATAGTGTTCAACAGATTAACAAGCATTAGTAGAGTTTATACTATATATAAATAATCATTGTATAGCCTTAGTGTCTTCCGTTAAAGGTTCTGACATTGAATGGGGAATGCTTTATGATTACAATCAGGAATGTAAATGGATTACCGTAAAGTTAAGTTAAGTAAGGGATTTTAATGTCTATTCAAACTTCCTACACTCCACAGAACATTCCCTAATATTTTCAAGGACATTTCTCCGCTCAATACTCATCGAAAATGGCTTGCCAATTTATTGTAGAGAACTCATTGTCACAACTAATTGATTTGGCACATAGTTTTGGCCCAAAACTAAAGATCACATGAAAAAGAAATACACGTACACAAGCCCCCTTTTGGTAGCTTGTGCAACAACCTTAAAAGGTCGTTTGGCCATTTTGTTGTTGAAAAGTAATTCGGTGGTGGATCGGGCAAAGTGTCAAATCATTGTAGAAGTATCTCAGAAGTCATCTAGCCTATATTTAACCCCAAACTATCCATCAAAGATGCATGGGTATGCCGGGATGGTGGCGGCCCTATGTACGTGCAATCTTGTTTCGTCTCAGCCTTTTGCCTTTTGTAAATTGAAAAACCATTTAACTCCCGTTAATTTTAACGCCTGTTTTCTATGCCAACCCCAGTTAGATTGCCACACTGGCACACAGAGCCCAGAGCCGAAAACAAAAGCGAGAAGCAGCCGAAATACCGTAGTGCAAGCGATAATTATTGCCTACAGGCCACCAAAAACGTCTCCAGACAAAAAAAAAAAAAAATCCAAGAAAAAAAAAAAACAGAAGCCGCCGTGGTCTAGTCGTGTAGATGATTGAAAAGCGAAGAAGATTTGCATAGAAACGTGCGATTTTCGCCATGGCTAGCGGGCCCGGGCCCCCATGCTGTGCTGCCGAAAGTATCTGCCAGATACGCCATGGTATGTTGCACCCACACACACGACTGGCAGCAGCAGCAGCACACTGTCAACGTGCTCACAGCATGAGAACAATACTTTGTTGCCTTCAATTACTCATCCATTCATGTCGTCATTCATTCGGCACTTGGCTGCTTGCAGCATGCAGCGCCTCTTCACTAGAGTTCATTGCAGTGGCAGCAGCAATTTGTTCAATTTATTGTTCAGTTTTTTTTTTCTGGATTTTCAACTATGCATTTTTTGCGGCTGGATTATAGGCAAGCTTCTGGGGAATTTGCTTACATTCCAGGCCCTTCTACGAGCATGTGTCGTGGCGGCTGAGTTTCAAATGTGTTTTTGCACTCGACCCACATTTGTCAAGATCAATGATAGAGATAACCCCCTGATTAATGGTCGGAGGTTATGGGTTTTTTTTTTTTTTGTGTAGCTTTGATATATGTTTCTCGTGTAGCAAAACATTTTAAAACATTTTTTTTGGCATTTTTAAAACATATTTATAAATATCTCAGAATATCTTGAAGGTTTCTCAGACTTTCTAAGAGGCAGGAAACTTATTTATTTGTATTTTTATTAATGTTAATCTGGTTCCAAAACATGCCATATGTTGGGGTTTTTATGTTAATGTTCTGATTGAATTTAGGTATGAAATTCGAATACCAAGAATTCTTAAACAACTTCCACTTGACTTGACTTCTTTTTAATGTTTCGCAAGAGATATATATTTCAACAAAAAAAAACCCACCAAATTAATTGCAATGATTCAGACAATACAGCATCGTTAGTTGATAGCCAAAAATCTCTCCGAAACTGGAAACTCTACGATTTTATGTCACATCATCCACCTGGAATGTGAACACAAAAACAAGTATACACACTCGTAAGATAAACGAGTGAAAAGTGATTTCAATGCCAAAGAACCCGCGCTAGTAGTCTGTTCGGAGCGTGCAATCTATCTCAAAACGACAGCTGAACCAACCGAAGTGATATCTAAGCATTTGGAATTATAAAACAATTGTGTGCTAATGATGAAAGACAGGCAGGCAGGCCGACAGGCAGTCAGGCAGGCAGGCAGGCAGGATTTTGGCCACCAGGTAAGCTACTAGCATCCGTACCAGGGTGGTGATGCATTCATTGCCTTGGCTGTGTCAAAGATCCACAGACGAGGGTATACGATAATATAATATGGTCACGGCTTGCCAAATGCAAATGACACAGAAAAAATTTGATATTTTTTTTATTGAGCATTTTACAAACTGCACAACAAACCTCAGGGCATGACCTCCGACCGTGCACAACTCCAGCCACGAAGACAGACGACGGAGTCTCCTCCACAAGGAATCACGATGAGGCAGGGGCACCAGCAACAGCAACAGCTACCGCACCAGCACCAGCACAGCCTCCGCTCGATGCAACCGAAGATTTATGTAAGAGTCTGCCGAGAGTTGGTAGCACAGGAACCCATCATTATCGATCGATATAAGCAGCCGGCAGACAGCGAGACTACGACAGCCGATGAGAGACTGACTGAGGCCAGGGTACGGGTAGATAATAACTTGATCACTGGAAAATCATTTATTGTGACACGATCGCTGATTGGGGGCCCTCTCGAAAGACCTCTCTGGCAAAGCCCATCGTCAACTTGTTGTCATGCTGTTGCGTCTCTGGTTTTCTATTTTCTTTTTATGATGAAACCATGTTATATTGCCGCTTGATAATCATTCTGCGAAAGGCAAACAACTTAATTGCTAAAAGATAAAACCTTTTGCTAGTTTCAAAACCACATGAAATATGCTCTAAAAATGCCTAGGTGTCAGAATGTGAGCCAGCATCAAGGTAGAGCATCACCTCTGATATATTAGTTGGCTATTATTTGCACTTTAGATAAAAGGTTCGTAGCTGGTTTTATGATCTCTAAATCATATCACAGATTATTTGGATTGGCATTAAACAGATGTCAAAATGCTCTACAGATAAATGAGGCTGCACCAAAAACCAGTATCATATGTGAAGGATTATTATTCAATTTTTCAATTTTAATTGCATTTGAAAGTTGTATAAAGCCAATACAAAATGTTTATTGTCGAACACGCAAGTTCTCTCTCTCTCTCTGTGACGCTTTAAAAGTGAAAACTAAATGACTTTGTCTACTATATGTAAAAGCAAACAAAACCCCTTAATACA